CGGTGCCCCAGGAAGGAGGAGGAGATGGAGAACTGAGCAGCTACAAGGACTCGGAGCAGACCAGCTATTCCACCATTTTCATCTAAAGAGGGAGGCCGTGTCCTTTCAATTAGGTAAAAGTAGGAGATGCGGCAGGCTGCCAGACCTTGATCCAACATGACAAGGTCGTGAATTCTTCACATATCACCCAAAATATTTCTTCATGTCTCATGAAAATACAACTTACAAAAGCAAGAAAACATTTCATCCTAGCTAAATTTTACATCGGTGCCCTTGGAAAGACCAAACACAACTCCATGAAGCAGTACTTCACTCTCCAGTATGGTGTCGGATGAACACTCTGAGCTCAGAAAGGCTTCTTCTTGTTCTCAAGAGAATCATTTTCATCATTGCTTTCACTTTTTTTTTTTTTTTAATATTCTGTTTTGTTTGTTTTTTTTCTGGGAAAGATTTGCCCTGAGCTAACATCTGTTGCCAATCATCCTCTTTTTTCTTTTTCCCCTCTCCAAAGCCCCAGCACATAGTTGTATATTCTAGTTGTAAGTCCTTCTAGTTCTTCTGTGTAAGCTGCCACTATAGTAGGACTACTGACAGAGGAGTGGTGTGGTTCCACGCCCAGGAACCGAACCCTGGCCACTGAAGTGGAGCATGCTTAACTTTAACCACTGGGCCATCACAGCTGGCTCTCATCATTGCTTTTGATGGAGAACAAATTTAGCTCATCTTCAACTCTTCCCTTTTATCCAATAAGTTCAGTCTGCTAAGGTTATTCAGCCAGCAGAGAGAGAAAATAAAAAGCATGCAAGAGAGAGTTTGAAGCAGCCTTGCAAATATAAAGCACCTTCTTGCCATTTTCCAGTTATTCAGGCCTCCTGAGCTATGTTACACTACAGATCAAGTCACACACCATTCACAGCAGAAAACAGTGTCTGTTACAACGGTGACTCCTGCTGGCCAGATGACCACGTGGCAGCATCCCTCAGGAAGGCAACAGTGGGAGGATGTTTGCCCTTAGCGTTAAGTTCTACATCAATTCAATGGTGAAAGGGGTCCAAGCAGAGAAAGGCAACATCATCTGATGTGGTCATAACCAGATGAAAGCAGTAACACATCTGATAAAGGTATGTGTCCATCAGAAGCAGGCTGGTCAGCAGGGAACAAATTCAGAGGGAGGGGAAGACGCCCAATGGCAGTGCCCAGTCAAGCATCTGCAAGGAATGAGTGCCCACTTGAGACAGCGGGGCCTCCCGAGGGAGAGAAGGCACCAGGCTCCCTGCCTGAGCACCCAAAGCACCGCCGGGGCAAGTGCAGCTCCTGCTGTGGGTTGTGACTGCTGCTGTTCACTGCACGCAGCAGCATCAGGAAAGGCTTGACCCAGCACCAAATGAACCCACACTGCTCCCTTTGGGAGGCATACATTTGGAGCGGTGGGGTCCAGGGCCATGCAGAGGAGCACCTACATGGAGGCAGGCTTCCTGTTACATGTTCTCATGGAAGACGATTTTCCTACCTCAAAGCCCGAGTGTCTTGGGCAGGACATGAGGTCATTTTGGCATGGAATAGACAGCACATTGATTATGAGGTGAGCAGCTGAATGTGATTTTGAAGTTTCCAGCACTGGTGTCTGGGGTATTGGTGTTGCCTTTTGTCACGAGCGCACAGACAAGGAGAAGAGGGACTCAGGTGAGGGAGTGTGGCCTGTGAGCGGCTGGTGTGGATCTGTCCCAGAGACAAAAGGGAATGAGTCTCAGACTCAGGGCTTGAGATACTTCGGGATTATCAGCATAAACGTAAGTGGGGCAACAATTTGCAGTTTAGAGCAAAATCCTATTGCATCCTCTTCTGCCTCATATGTGTTGGGTTATTCATCTACTGATTGATAACTCTTTTTGGGGAAAGCAATTTGGTTGGGTATCTACGCTGAGAGAAATAAGACTTCCTCCTGGAACAGCTCAGGTGAGAGAAGGTAAGAGAGAGCAAAACAAATTACTAGGTATAATAAAGTGAAAGAAATTTTGAGTCTCCTTGGACAATCCTAGAGAGAGTGAGTATGAGCAAACAGGGACCTAAGGAACGTTGGCAAAAACACACATAGATCCAGGATCAAAGGATGGACACAGCCAATGAGGTACCCCAACAATGAGGAGTGACTGATATTCAAAGGGAAGCGGTTTCCTTCTCTGTGGAGTACTTGCCTTCCATGGTTCCTGCAATGGGCTGCAGGGTCAGAGCAGTAATCAAGACGACCAAACCTACAGAGAGCTTAGTAGTGGCTAATTAATCATGCTGCCCCTCAAACAGAAACACAGGGTGGCCACTAGAGCCATCTCTGATCTGTATAAGGGAAACTGTCTGGGTCTGGCGGACAGAGATCTCACTGCAGTCATACAAAGAGAACCACACCCCTCCTGCAACTCCCAGGACCCAGCCAGTCCACAGACCCAGGACCTTCTTCATAAAGGGATGGCTGGGCCCCTAACCCTCAAACAAGGTCTAGGGTGGTGGAAAGGGCAAAGTAGAAATCTGTAGAATTCTCTCTTCCCTCCAAGATGGTAAAACCAAAAGCAATACTGCATTACTGGGAGAATTTCAGAGATCAGTCACATGACCTAAGCCCATCTGACCTGCGAAGAAGACAGATAGATGGGTCTTGATGAGTGGCCATGGACTGTCACAAATTTAATCAGATAAGGACCTCAACTGCAGATGCCACTCGAGACGTGGTTTCTTTATTGGAACAAATCAACATGGCCCCTGGTCTCTGGCCTGCCACTGCTGATCTGGCAGACAGCTTTTCTCTAAACCTGCTGCAAACCTGCCCGGGGCAGCTAGCCTTCAGCTGTCAGGGACAGCAGCATGCCTTCACAGCCTCGTGTTAGGGCTCTGCTACCTCTCCAGTTCTTCGGTACAATCTAGAACTCACGGCCATCAATAGTCTTGCCATTCCACAGGACATGGCCCACCCCTTGATGATGTAATGCTGACAGCAAAGATAACCTAATGTCTTGATGAAATATACGAACACCAAAGGGTGGGACATAAACCCCACAAAAATGCAGGGGGCTCTGCCTTGAAGTTTCTATGGGTCCAGTGATCTAGGGGTCCATGTTTAGACACATCCTGTAAGGCGAAGGATAGGTTGCTGCCTCTTACATCCACTGCCACTAAGAAAGAGGCAAGATACTTAGGAAACCTCTTTGGGGTTCTGGACGCAACAACGGCAAGAATTCTGCCTGCTGTTCTGGCCATTTACCAATTAACCCATAAAACTGTCAGTTTTGTGTGAGTCCAGAAAAAGAAAAGGCTCTACAGCTCGCTGATGTGGAAGCTGCTCTCCTTCTCAGTCGGTGGTACCCACAAATCCCACGGTACAAAGAGCCTGTGGCTCATCAGGATGCCACATGGAGCCACAAACTGACCCACCGCACAGACCCCTAGGGTTCTGGGACAAAACCATGATGATTATTCTGCAGATAATTACTCTCCTTTTGAGAACCAGCTCTGGGCTGTCTTCTCTACCCTGGTGTAGACTAGAACACTGCCCTTTACCATGGGATACCTAGTTTCCGCACGAGCTGAGGTGGCCACAGGGCTGTGACCCATCATGCCCTCAGGCTGGGAAACCGCTGGAGGACTTCACCCTTTAGCTGAAGTGACACATACAGAAGGCTGGTCTCGGGCACGTCCTGAAGGCACAGCTTATATAAGGAAATGGTTCAGATCCTCACAGCAGCAACACTGCTGCACTGACAAGGCCCCCTCATAGGTACCTATGGTCTCATGGAGAGTTTCCTATGACTAGCTGCCTGAACTAAAAAAGTTCTATTTGATTTCCGCAAATTGTGCTGACACCATCTAAAGGTGAAAGTCGACATCATTGTAGCCTCAATGGTGGCCAAGAAATCAGTGGAGGAAAGAAACCCTACCAGGCAAAGCACCACACTTGTTCACTTCACCTGGAAGTGGCAACGGCCACAAGTATGGATCTACACGAGAGTAAGCAGGTGGTCAGCGTCTCGGAAAGAACAAGATTGGAAACCAGTGGCAAGCAGAATCTAAACTGTTGACAAGGACTGAGGCAGAGGGAAGCGGAGAGACCTCTTGAAACAAGCAGAGTGCGTGGATGTCTGTGTCCCATTTGAGTGCTCACCACCGGCACTCAGGTGACACGATGACGTGTCTGTGGCCATCAGTAACTTTTCTCACCAGTGGCAATGGGCTCACAGAAGGCCTTACTGCATGATTCTTACAGCGCTGCCTCTAAGAGGTCCATTTCACAGCAGAAGTTCAGCAACGAGGTCCGTGGACTACACCGATCTCAGCATGGGCTCCAGACTTCACAGCAGCCAGCTGGAGAACACGGCAGACAGCCCCCTAAAGACAGCCATGATGCTGGCTGGTGGTGACGTCTCATGGGGCTGCTGTCCCACCCAGCACCATGTGCCTCATGCCCCGAACCGCCAGTCAACACGTGGTGTGGTTTTTCCCATCACCAGAATATGTAGGGCAAGGTAGCATGTCAAGTGGGAGCAGTTCCCCTCACTATGCCCCTAATGAGCCATTAGCTCACCTCACAATTCTGGACTCTGCGGGTTTGGATGCATTTGTTCCTAAAGAAGGAACGTTTCCACAAAGGGACACAAGAAGTGTCCCACCGGCCTGCAGGCTGAGAGGCCACCTGGCTGTGTTGGCCTCATGCCAATAAAACAAAGACCAAGAAGGGTTGACTGTAACATCTTGGGCAATTGCTCCCCACTCTCTGGGGTAGGTCTTCTACCACAGATGGGGACAGGGAGGAGTATGTCTGGAATTTGGGGGATTCTCTGGGAACGGCTTAATATTTCCATTTCCAGTGATAAAAGTCAAGAGAAAACTAGTTACCCAAAGTAGGGAGACTTCTAATAGGAAGGTTTTTCAGAACAAGGTTTGGCTCAACCAGGTGAAGAACCATAACCAACAGAGGCACTGGCTCGGGTGAGGGTAAAGGAACATGGAATGAATTGTAGGAAAAGGAATTTTAGTACCAACTAGTGCCAGCTCACAGGTGCAAAAGCAAGGTGCACAGAAGCTCCACATATTTTTTCACTGGTTTGGTAATTGTATGTATTAGTCAATTCTTTTTTCCCTTTCTGGTTGTAGCACCAACGTCAGGAGGTTAACATTGGTTAATCCTATAACTCCAGGGGAGGCTATGACCATATGACAGAAGATCGTCTCCCAGAGGTGGAAATGATGACACGTGGGATCAGGGTCTCCCATTGTATGACAAAGTGGCATCACATCAGGCAGGAGCAGGATGTTTCTACTGTCTTTACCCAGAAGTTTGGTTTAAAAGGGGGTGGCAGGTGTAGAGTTGACAAAGGGATGGATGGAATGTGCTGGAATGTCTGTTGTCACACAGCACTGCCCCTCCTGAAGGTCTGCTCTAAACTGATCTCTGACAGCAGAGAAGCCAGAAGCACACGTGGCAGGATGTCCTTCCTTGCAGGGCTGTGAGTGAGGACTAGAAGGCGGAGGATGAAGGGAGGCCATGATTCACTGAGGATGGGCACACCCGATGCATATGCAAAACTGGGGTTCACGACAGTCTCGCGGGGGTTTCTTGAGAACCACCGGCTTTGCTGCCGCCAACCAAGACAGAGGGAGCTTCCCAGACATCCTGGAGAACTGCAGTGGCTGCCCAGGGAACTCTTGAGAATTGCTGCTTTGGTTGGTCAAGCTGAACTGCAGTGGCTGCATCCCTGACCTTCACTGTTCCAGCTCCCCCAGATCCAGTACTAAACCCGCCATATCCAGATACTTGCCAGGGCTTCTGCCTTCCCAGACAAACGCTGATGGGAAGACCTCCTGCCCAGCATCCACGATCTTCCCCACCACACCTTCCAGGAGCTGCTCATCCCCAGTTCTCTCCCATGAGATCTGGATTGTTTCGACCTTATTCTCAGCTCCAGGGATGAGGCAGGACTGGTCAATCGCTCCCTCCATGCCCCGATGGCTGATCCAGGAGTGGACGTCTACTGGCCTGAACAGTGAGTGCAGGGCAAGGTCCTGACCACAGCCATCATTTCAAGAGTAGGCATATGGCCAGTAAGAGTGAAGCTACCCATTTCTGGGTAACAGTTGGTGAAAAGAAGCTCTCTCCCTTCTGGACAGTATGTCATGGGGAGAGGGGACCAAAACTGCTTTAGCCATTTGGTTACCACAAGGGAATCCAGCCTGAGGTTCACACCAACTCAGGAAGCGCAAATCAGAAATCTGCAGAGAAACAGACCTTGAACCCTCATCAAACAGGCCCTGGAATCCATCCTACTTTTGGATTTTCAATTTACATGCTGTTCAAAGCTATTCAAGTTGGGTTTTCTGATGTAACCAAAAGCATCCTAACTTACAGGTGTTTTCATAAGACTACTTTGCTTGTGGATTTCTTGGCTAAATGTATTAACATTTGTTTCTTCTCACTGAAAGTCCAAATTTTCAGCAGAGCCGAGTGTGTAAGACTGACAGCTTCGGCCCACTTGTTCCTCTCTTGGCTAGTGTAAGCCACCAGGTTCTCAGTGTACTGTAAGACCGACTTTAAGAACCTGTTTAAGAAAGAAAAGAAGTTCATTTCATCTATTTCATTACAAAATGCAATCACACACTTAAATGTGTTCTCATTTTGGAATTACAATTAAAGTACTGTAATTAATTTTCGTCTGCAAATTCAAGAAAAAGTCATCCAGTATGGAAATAAGAGAATATAAATTAGATAAAAAAGGAAAATGCTGAAATGTCAATGTCATTGGAGAGGTGGATGGAATCAACTCTTTCTAATCCAGACACGACATTTTTAGATGGAACTTGACTCCAGAAAGGATCTTAGAGGCCATCTGGAATAAACTGACATGGAATAAACACACAATCAACACAATGATGAATGAGCAAGCCTTCCACCCACTAGGACCCTGTGGCAGCATGCCTCCTGTTTCCGTCCTTGGACGTCCAGCTTCCAGCCTCCACGATGGATGGTCCACTACTGTGGAGCAGACACAGTCCGCTCTCAGACAGCTGCTGCTGTTAGAAAGCTTTCTGTAAAGATATCTATCAACAACATGTTCACAGGGTTACCTCTGACTGATGGGAATAACTGTCATTTTTCCATTTTCCAAGTTCTCAAAGTTTCCCAAGTAGTTTGAAATTCTCTCTGACTTTTAATTTTGAAAATTTTCAAACTCGGAGAGAAGTTACAAGAATAAAACAATGCAAATCCACAGATCGTTCATCTAGAGAGTGGTTCTCAATCGGGAGTGACTTTGCCCTCCAGGGGCTATTTGGCAGTGTCTACACTGCCTCTGGGTGCCACAGCTGGGGGTGCTACTGGCATGGAGTGGGCGGCTGCTCCACACCCTACAGTGCACAGGACAGCCCCCACAGAAAACGAGCCAGCTCAAAACACCAGCCGAGTCGAGGCGGAGAAACCCTGATCCAGAGTCACCAACCGCTGACATTTTGCACAGCCGCTGCCCTCACTCTCACCTGGACTCCACGCTTCTTTCATAAAATGTCATACTTTCATGTTCATTTTAAACATGCATCGAGGTGCCTGCTCCCCACAAAGCATTAGCAACATGACTCTCTGGAGGTTGTTATCATCACATGGGGTGAGGAGCTCCGAAAGCACTCACACGTAAGTCACATCTCATCTTTCGAAATGTGCCCACACAAGTGTTGGTTTTAAAGGTTCACACACTTGCACTGAAACCCACGCAGAAGAACCGTGAAGAGCCCATCAGACCAAGGGCTTTAGAAAATCAAAGAAAATAACCAGAAGGAGTGAAAATTATTTAAAATTACCAAACACAGTTTCGTTTCTTGTGAGTATGACACACTTACTTAAGATACTGCTGATATTCGTGAGCATTTTTTCCTGGAAGTTCATGAATGTTGACCATTTCCACTGCAATCAGCAATAAAATCAGGTAAAGCACAGGAGACAGAAGCTTAATGCTAAAAATAGATAAAACAAGTTAAAATTTGACAAATTAAGTATTTTTCACTTTCATAAGGAAAAAACATTTCACATAACCAACCCTTTTCTTAAAAGAATGCTCTGTGTCTATGGCAGCTGTTTTCTAACCGCCATGGTGTGGCCCCTGCAGGCTGCACCAGGAGGGCCCACAAGAGCTGAAGCCCAGCGGTCCTCTGCCAGCTGAGTCCCACCTTCCTCCGTCTTCACTCTCAGGGGGCAAGGTCTTGATTGACGGGAGCCAGCAGCGGTCCTGACACTGCTCTCTGGGAGCACCAGGACATCACTAGCCCTGCGCCCAGGCCTTCCACTCAGTTCCTGTACTCTTTGCCATCTGTCAACACCTTTCTTACAATTTGATATCCAGTAAAGGACTCTCATAAGAAGAGAGATACAGATGGCTTAAACACAAAAATGAGTTCAATGTCTCCAGGACTCAAAGAAATTCCAATCAAAGTAAGATACTAACTTTCTGGTGCAACAGGTACAGATTTTTTAAAATCTATACCGTTTTGGGAAGGACATAATGTAATGGGCAGCATCTTATAAAGTACCAGCAAGAGTGTAAACTGGGTATAACCTTTTGGAAGCAACTGAGGCATGTCTATTAAAAGCCTTATAGACACAGATACCACTCAACTCAAATTTCTAGGAATTGGTCCAAAATGGTTATTTCTTAAGGATGTAGAACATTCTAAAATATACAGTGAAAGTGGAGAAACCACAGTGCAGGCATCCTCGAGTTAATCTGCTGTTATATTTTAAATCAAAATATTCATTTGGGTTGGTAGAACCCACATTCTCATATGCTGAAATTACAAACATTGTTTTAAAATAAGATGTACTATAACTTTCTCTGAAAAAAAGTATTTCTCTGAAAGTAAGAATTAGAGCATCCAAAAGATAACTCCTGCCCAAGAGAGCTTCCTCCGAAACAGGACGGCAAGCCACACACCTACTCAACATGCGCAGGAAGTTCTGCCTCTGCCGGGAACGGAGCCTCTTCTCCACCCACTGCTGGTGTCTCAGCTCCATGGAGGCCACGACCTGGCCCGACACGCGGGAGCAGCACGTGCTGATGTTCCGGAGCACAGCGAGCACTTCCAGCACGGTTCTGGGACAGAAGAGGGTCGGGATGTGGATGCTGCAGAGTTCATGGAGCACCCGCGGCCACCTGCGGGTTAGAGAGGACTTCAACGGGGCACGTTCCACCTCTGATCCTTTGACTTCCACTGGGGCGTGTACCATGACCGATTCTTTGCCATTACTGCCCCGCCCGGACCTACCAGTCTGTAACTTCTGGTGGGGATGGTCACGTCCAGTCGGCTAGCACGACTGTTACCCACAGCAGGTGTTAAATGCATGCACATGCTTCACTGTGGTGAACGGAACACGTGCGGACGACTTTCATCAGACAGACCAACACGTCCACAGAGATTATCGGAGCCTGTCTAATGATTCCTCTGGGGGAACAAGGATAGGGGGATTCTAACGCTACCACTCAGCTTATAAAATGTAAAGCACAGAAGAGGGCTAAGTTTGTGATCACAATGTGCTTTATCAATGTTTTACCAATTCTCAGGATGTCCTGACACTTGCTTCTCTGTAGGAAGATCATCCAAGTCACCAAAAACACAACGATCCTCAGGCACGTGGTGACACAGCTCACAGGTGATTTTTATAAGTAAAGAGTTGCAGGCATTTGTTTCAGAATTGCCTTCTAATCTGAAAAATAGAAAATATTTAAGTACATATGACACAAATGAAGATGCCTTCATTAGCGCTTGTGCAAAATAATGTTTATTTTAATGGGTCACTGAGCAAAGCACGTGATCTGAGTTTACTTTCCCCAAATATAAAATGAAAACCCACCATCAGGGCAGTGGTAAAAATGAATGATACAATATGCTAAAAGCAATGCCCATTGTTGACAAAGACGACATGTGAGTCAGCCACATGTTACTTCTGCGAGATGAGCACTGTGTTCTGACCCCAATTCCTATCTCTATTCTCACTTCTCCCCCCAAGCCTCAGACCCCGACTCCCAATTGTCCACCATGTTTCTAGTGGATGCCATCCTCCTCCCACAGCACCTGCCCCACTCCTGCATTCTTGCTCTCTGCAAGCAGCCCCACACACGGCCGGCCCTGAGCCGGGAGACTACACCACTCTTGGTTCCCATCTCCCACCGACACCAGCCACCAAGGCCTCGCAGTCCTGCCCCAGCACTCCGTCTTCCGATGGCCCTGCTGAGGAAGACATCACTCGGAGGCTGACATTCGCTGACAAGTGTGAGGCCTTCGGGACCCCAGGAGGGAACTCACCTGGCTGCTTCCCGTTCAGCGTCTCCGGGCAGAGGCAGCAGAGGCCATAGCCCAATGCTCGCCCCACAGCCCAGCACCTGAGAGGAGAGCGTCCGACTGCTGTGAAAGATTTTACAATAACGTTCTAGAAAACAGGCTTTTAAATTGTTACAGATGTCACCCCACTTTCTAGAAAACACGTATTTGTAAAATTGCTACAGATCTGACATTTCAAAACTCAGTTATTCAATGGGGCTGGCCCCGTGGCCGAGTGGTTAAGTTCGCGCGCTCCGCTGCAGGCGGCCCAGTGTTTCGTCAGTTCGAATCCTGGGCGCGGACATGACACTGCTCGTCGGACCACGCTGGGGCGGCGTCCCACATGCCACAACTAGAAGAACCCACAACGAAGAATACACAACTATGTACCAGGGGGCTTTGGGGAGAAAAAGGAAAAAAAAAAATCTTTAAAAAAAAAAAAAAAAAAAAACTCAGTTATTCAACATAATCAGATAAGGGAAGGCCAGTGGGACTACGGGGCATTCACAGGTAGCTGATATCCGGGGTAGTTATAAACACATCCACAAACTCTCTTGGCGCCCCTCCTTTGGGAGCTGGGGTCTATGTCCCCTCCCGTGAATCGGGACTAGCTCTGGCGAGTGGCCTGTCACCAGGAGAACAGAGCGGCAATGAGGAGGCTGTGCGACTTCAGAAGCCAGGTCAGAAACCAAGGGACCTCCCCCCAGGTTCTGCAGACCGCCACCCTGGGTGAAGCCAGCGATCACGCCAGAGCTGCAGCTGCAGGGGCCACGTGAGACCTCAGGCCAGAGCCCCAGCCAAGTGCCCAGAACCAGCTTCTCATCTTCTCAGATGGGACACCAGCCCAGTGGAGCCGGACCCACATTTCTGACCCATAAACAGGTCTGTCTACTGCTGACAACCCCTTCCAACTGAAGCCACTTTCCTTAAGCTATCACCGTTCGAACTGGGTCTTCTCCAGGCACCGTTTCTCTCCAATGCCTTTGCAAATCTCTCCCAAACCCATCATGTGCTATAAGTAGCTTCCTTTGAGAGGGCACTCTAACTGAGGAATTTCTGAGTTAGCAGCTGTCGTGATTGTTGTATTCTTGGGACAACCCCATTATTGATCCCTTGTACCACTTTCATATCCTACCACATGTAGAAAAAAGTACCTAAGCTAATTTCCAAGCTGGAACTTCCTGGCAGAAATGCTTTAAAATTTATTGTTTGCTTGTTTGTTTGAATTTATAAGTTAACAAAAGTTGGTAAAAGAAAAACTGACATTCTTCACAAGTAACCAGCAAAAACTGTTACTAGTTCTGGGTTATGACAAAAATAATAATAGTCTACTAGGGCACTATGCTAAACATTTTCCAACAGTCACCCACTTAGTACTAAAAACACCAGATGAAGCATGCAATACCGTTACTTCAACTGCTGGACATGGAACCTGAAGCCCAGAAAGACCAGGCAACTTGGCCAAGGCCACGCACCCGAGTGACCAGAGAAGGCCATGTGCCCGAGTGACCACACAAGGCCATGCACCCAAGTGACCACGCAAGACCACACACCCAAATGATGCCCTATAGTTTGAAAGCCAGATGTGCTAACCCCAAAGTCCAGCTCGACGAGGCGGGCCTACACCCTTCAAACACCTCTGCAACAACTGACTCGCACACACCCATCTCCCAAAGGGCCACATACCTGCTTTTTCAGCCAAGACACTGGATGGAAACGAGCACTGTAGCCTTCTGCAAGACTAGTCAGGGATCTTACTGCTGTCTTCTCCTAGGTTAGAAAAAACAGACATTAGTTGCTGCAACTTTTGGTGAGGCTTCCAGTTTTCTTCTGATGAATTTTAATTCACATAAGTCTGATTTCTCATTGTTTTCCTTCACGTAATTCAATTCAGCTATAAGAAAGCACAACTTTTCATTAAAACAGGTATGACATAGTAGTCAAGTCACAACCAAAAAAATGCGTTTTAACAAAGCCGATTAGTAACGATAAATTAGAAAGGCATGTCCACTCTCTGTCCACAATGCAACAAAACTATAAATAAGTAGGAAAAAATTAAAAGATCCCAAACAATTGAAATTTAAAAGATTCTCCTAAAAAAACAGAATGTAACAGGAATTTAACCATTAAAAATCAATACAACTAAAAGAGAACTAGATAGCTATAAAAAATTGCTAAACATATAAACACTGAAACAAGAGTAAAAATAACATTATTTACAGCTGACATAACTGTATAACAGGAAAATCCAAGTTGGCTGACTAAAAGTTATTAGAAATAAAAAGAAAAGTCAGTGAGTTGATAGTCAACAAATTTAACATACAAAAGTCAATAGCTTTCCTACATAGAACCAGTACCTACCTAGTATTCTCAGTAGTACAAAGCAAATAACTAAAATAGCTAAATGTTGCTGGAAGAAACGCACTTGACCTCTCACCCACTCCAATACCTACGAAGGCCGACCACGCAGCAGGGCGTGTCTGGGCCACATACACGAAGCAGACAAAAGTGCGCCCTTGCGGGGTAGACATCCTTGTGGGGCAACGAGACACACACCGTATGAAGGTTACTGATGGTGCCTGTGGCTGGGTGGGGGCGGGGGTGCAGTGTGGGAGTGGTGGGGAGAAATAGATCAGATTTGGGACATGTTCTTAAGGTAGAGGATTGAGCATGGAATGTGGAAGTGCAAAGACAGGACCCTGGCCTTTGGGCTGAGCAGCCACGTGGAACGATGGTGCTGTCACTCAGGCGGGGAGTCTGAGGGAGGGGAGGCCTGAAGAAATGGAGATATCCGTGTGAGGGAGTAATGTTCCATGCAGCCAAAAATGTCACTTATCCCCAAATTAATCCATCAGAACCTCATTCCTATAGACTTTAAACCAAATTTCTGAGGACTTTCACTTTCTACATTCATTTTTTTTTTCTGCTAAGGAAGTTTCCCTGAGCTAACATCTGTGCCAATCTTCCTCTATTTCATAGGTGGGTCACCACCACAGCATGGCTGTGGATGAGTGGTGTAGGTCTGCACCCGGGAACTGAACCCAGGCTATCAAAGCAAAGTACGCCAAACTTAACCTCTAGGCCCCGGGGCTGGCCCCACTACACTAACTTTTCCATCTTGTTTGAACTTTTATACAAGTTTTACAATAAGTGTTACATGCATAATCTGAAAAAAGATTAAAATATCGATAACAAATATTCTAACCTAAATTATTTATTTTAAAATAATAAAATTACAGTTTACTGATAGATGCAAATTTGCCACTCTACCAATTTAATAGACATCTGTAAAAATTTCTGATATATTTAGTTAATCCTGTCTTATACTGTGTTTTGGTTTGCAATATCCTTTCACTGTTAAAAACAAAGGTAAATGTGTTCTTAAGAAATAGGTTAGGGGCCCCGTTAGATTGGCAAAAACATCCAAAACCAAGAACGACAAATGTTGGAGAGGTTGTGGAGAAAGAGGAACCCTCATACACTGTTGGTGGGAATGCAAACTGGTACAGCCACTATGGAAAACAGTATGGAGATTTCTCAAAAAGTTAAAAATAGAAATACCCTATGACCCAGCCATCCCATTACTGGGTATCTATCCTAAGAACCTGATATCAGATATCTCAAGAGTCCGTTGCACCCCTATGTTCATCGCAGCATTATTTACAATAGCCAAGACGTGGAACCAGCCTACATGCCCAGAAACTGATGATTGGATAAAGAAGATGTGGTATATATACACAATGGAATACTACTCAGCCATAAAAAAAGACGAAATTGGCCCATTCACAACAATGTGGATGGACCTCGAGGGCATTATGTTAAGCGAAATAAGTCAGTCAGAGAAAGACGAACTCTATATGACTCCACTCATAGGTGGAAATTAGCATATTGATAAGGAGATCTGATCGGTGGTTACCAGGGAAAAGGGGGGGTGGGGGGAGGGTACGGAGGGCGAAGTGGTGTACCCACAACATGACTAACAAAAATGTACAACTGAAATCTCACAAGGTTGTAATCTATCATAACATTAATAAAAAAAAAAAAAAAAAAAAAAAAAAAGAAATAGGTTAGGGGCTGGCCCCATGGCCAAGTGGTTAAGTTCGCACACTTCGCTTCGGCGGCCCAGGGTTTTGCCGGTTTGGATCCTGGGCGCAGACCTAGCACTGCTCATCAAGCCATGCTGAGGTGGCATCCCACAGAGCACAACCAGAAGGACCTACAACTAGAATACATAACTATGTACTGTGGGGCTGTGGGGAGAAGAAGAAGAAGAAAAAGAAGACTGGCAACAGATGTTAGCTCACGTGCCAATCTTAAAAAAAAATAAAAAGAAATGGGTTAAATTATTTTAGATTAGATTAAGTAACACTGATTTATTTGTTAAAGAGAATACATGCATACATGTAATCAAGTCACAATTATTTGTTCTGATGGGGGTATACTATAACTCAGATAAATTAATACAGTAGATTGAGTTAACCACATTTGAAAAATAAACTACGTCCTTTCATAGCTGAATGACAGTGGATCTAGTGAACTGTTTTCTCCTTTTACATTACCTTAAACACTGATAACAGATCTTCATCAACGAATCTCAGTAGAAGTACAACGGAAAATGCAAGCAGTTGATCTGTTATTTCCTTTGGAAATCCAGGTAAGTTGATTTCCCCGTGGCTTAAACGATCTCTTATACGAGGACCCTCCTGATGGTTCAAGAAATCCCAGAGAAATTCCTTTCAGAAAATAAACAGAGAAGATATTTTGTCAGTATTCTCAGCAGAGGGAAGGAAAGTGCCAAGGCCCAGGATGGCCAAGCCTGACAGGCTTAACGAGCAGCAGCATCCATACACAGACAAGAACACTGAGCCTCAAGGAGACTGAGTTAATCAGGGCCACAGCAGTGCAGGGCCAGGCTGGGATCCTCCCTGGGAAGGGTTCCCTTGTCTCTCTAACTGCACCCCACTGCCTGGATCAAGACTGACAGGAGAAACTAGCATTAACCACTAGAGGTGACAGAACTGCGTGATGGCTCCAGTGCTTAGTAAGACTGCCCCTCTCTCATTCCCACCCACCTCCAAGGAAGAGAACTGAGTGGTCCACATTCGGAAGCTGCCACTTTCCGAAGTCAAGGAAAGAAACCACTGCTGGCTTCCCGCATGAACACAGCCCTCGTTTTCCTGTCTGCCCATGCCTCCCCCTTTCTTACATGCCCTCTCTCAGATCACCCCTCATCATTGAGGCCCAGTGATGATGGCAGCTTCTTTCTTAACAGCACAAGTCCAAGGCCTCCCCCACAGGGTAGAGGGAAAGGGCCAGGAAACTGCTGACCAGTCACAGAGATTCAAGACAGAAAAGGGTATCAGATAAGGCAGTTCAAGCACCCCAACTTTGTGATGGCAGAAATGAACGCCCAAAGAACGTACGGAATCTAACTAGTATCACTCAACAGGAAGTAGAATCTAGGTTGCTAACTCCTAGACAGAAAGAATAAACAGAAAACTTCTATACAGTCAAAAGTAGTCACCACAGTATCCTCATAAAACACAAAAAGAGGGTAATACAAAATGGCTCTAAACAACTAACACTTCTCTTTTCATCCAACACACAATCTTGTTAGTCACATCTGACATCTGAGTTGTAGTTCACAAAGCAAAGAGTCCCTCTACCGGCACAATATTAAAAACAAAAAATCCAACAGCATTCAGGAACAGGGCAGCCACATCGTCAGGCCTTAGAAAAAGGAGACTCCAAACAGTGAGCACGAAGCACAAAACTGAGCTGGTGAGAGAGCTCAGCAAACATCTGCTGCACAGGACATGCGTGAGAACGGTTCAGAAGCACTTCTTCTGAGTGTGTCACAAGCCAAAATTAACTTCATTTTGGAGAAGTGCTAATCACATTCATAAACACAAGAATATGACAGTGGAAAAGATGGAATACTTCACCATTGCAGGCTGTCCAAGGAAAAGAGGAAGCTGATTGATTTTGCCATCACTCAAGTGTTTTGCCAATATCTAAAACACCAAAAATAAATAAGTTGGTAAACTGGTACACACACACCATACAGAACTTTAGAGTCTAAGGGTACAGTACCTTTGGTAAGATAGATAAGCTGCAAGCAAACTGAATGAAATAAGGACAGTCTTAAAAACACAGCAACCAGCAGTTCAAGAAATGTTCTCAGAACCGGTATAATGACTTTAAGTAGATACATCTTCTTAATTGTGTGTGCGTGTGTGTCTTTATATGTATATATGGGTCCGCAGAGCCAGGGCTGGTGATCTAGCAGTAAAGATCTGTCCTCTCACCACCCTGGCCCGGGTTCCTTTCCCAGTCAGGGAACGACACCACTCAACATGATGGCTGTCATGCTGTGGTGACTGCGTGTTGCTGTGATGCTGAGAGCCATGCCACTGACATTTTAAACACCAGCAGTGTCACCCATGGTGGACTGGTTTCAGCAGAGCTTCCAGACTGAGGCAGGCTACGAAGGAGGACAGTACTTGCAAGAAAACTGGCCATGACAACCCCACAAACAGCAGCAAAGCATTGTCTAATATGGTGTCAAAAGGTGAGAGGATGGTGTAAAAAGACCGGGCAGGGTTCCACTCTGCTGTCCATGGGGACGCTAGGAGTCAAAATCAGCTCAATGGCACTAACAACAAATGTGTATGTATGTGTTTATGTGCACTTATGTGTATTACGTGCACATATATGTGTATCTGTATGTGTGTAGATGTGTACTTAGAGGGATGTACATGTATTTATGTATATGTACTTATGCATACGTGCATTTATGTGTTTATGTGTGTATGCTTGCTCATGTGTCTTTATATGTATACATGTGTGTTTGCATGTATCTGTATACCTGTATACATATTCATATGTATGTGTTTATGTATATTTGTATGTACATGTGTGCATGTGTACATTTATGTGTACTTTGTGTGTGTAATTATATATATGTGCGTTTGTGTTTATGTGTACTTACATGTATATGTGTGTTTATATGTGTGTAATTATACATATATGTGTGTTTGTGTATATCAGTTACTTTATTAATTGCTTCTTAACTCACCATGGACTTTGGAACCCACCATCCAAACCAGTCCTATAGACCTAATCCTACACAGATTTGACTACATTATCTAATTTAATCTTCACAGTATCAAATATATTATATATTTAAACAATAGCAAATTATTTACATAATGGTAACCAGATACATTTTTTAATTTACCCACCACTGTTCACTCTGGAATTTAATAGTTGTCTTAAAGGCAAAATGATCTGAATGTCCAACTCTGTACACATGGACTTTTCCTTTCTTTCCTCCTGTCAGCTAACCCCATGGTGCCATACCTTAGGACACGTAAGAACTACTATCCAGGATCACGCACACAAAAGCCTCTGTACTCTACAAGCAGTAAGAGGTTTTTTCAACATTAACCTTTACTATTTCAGATCTTCACCTTCAGAATCACACCTCCAACTTGCAGATTAAATGCACCAGTGTATAATATATACTCTCAAGAGTAGCTAATGTATACTTCACGTGCAAAAAAAGTGTTACCTTTAAATCTAAAATGTAAGTCCCTAAGTAATTATAGCATATAATGTTAGTATCTCTTGGCATTTCCCAACTCTGACTTTTCTATAACTTTAGAAACTAGGTTAATAATATTGGGGCACAGCCTGAAAACTATCTTTAACTTCATAATAATCTTTTTTTTTGCTTATATAACTATCAACACTTCCTGTAAGCACACGACTCACAGCTGATCTCTAATTTGTATTTCAAAAGAACACAATGGGTTTTTTTGTTTCAAGATATCTAATAAGTTTACTTACTTCATCGAAGGTGGTATAAAGAGCTGTTGACTTCAGAAAAGGAAAGAAAAGAAATAATTAAAGCAAAATACAAGTAGAGCGACATTATTCAAAGTGGGAAAAAATTCTAGTACATGGCCACAGATATGAAACCTTCTTTTGAAAATAAATCTTTATCTAGAAACACTGGGAAGAATGTCATTGACAACATAAATGCATCATAAGAGACGTGAAAATACAGTGACCCTGGCAGCTGAGCCATGTTAGAACGCTGTCCTCACAAGCACATGAGCTCAAATACTTCTAAAATTTGTGATCCCAAAACTTCACAAATCGTTACTCACACAGAGTACTTCTAATGATGGCTGGTATTTGTGTGCAAGTGAGTATTTTCTCCAACAAACAGCCTTTGGTTTTCGTGCTTCTTGGTGTACTCAGCACAGAGTTTATAAACACAGGGTCTGGGGCCAGGCTGCCCCGGCATTCTAATCCCAACTTCAGCGCTTTCTAGAAGTGAGACCCTGGGTACCGCCACACACTCAGGTTTCTCTGCAAAACGGGACGTGAGTAAGGCCTATCTCAAAGGCTGCTGGGGAAGTCAGTAAGATTTTACACACAGCGTGATGAAATCAGTATTTTGTGGAAGCCAGCTCTTGAGAAATGTGTCTTACTTATTAACGCTTATTAATGTACTTTCGATTTAACATTATCAAATGTTCTTCAACATTCAGTACTGCGCAGATGACTCCAAAGTCTGTATCTTTAGCTCCCGAATCTGTACCGCTGACCCTAAAATTTTTCCTGAGCTCTAAATATCCAACTGCCTGCTAAATATCCCCACTACTTCCTCAAAAAAGCTGAACTTTCCAGTTATCTTCATAAACTACATGCATTAATTTATACCTTCTTTTATGGAACTGGTATAAATGTCTTATTGCTCACCCCTAATACATAAGCTTCTTAAAAGTCACAAAGTCTTACTCATCTTCCTCTCTTCCACTGATCTCAAAGACCCCACAATAATAAGTATTCAGCAAATGATAAGAGCATGTGCATAGCTCTCTATAGTTTTACAAAGGATTCTCACATATGTATTGCCTTATAAATAAATTGATGTTATGTTTACTCTGCATAAAAGCCTTGGCTAAAATTTAAGATATTCTTTGATAAAATTATATCCTCTGTGGAAACAGTCACACTATTTATTTGTGCAGTCAAATGACAAGCGAGTTATTAAATTTATTAATCCCACATAGTTATACGTGACTGATCATGCTGCCATGAACTCAGGTTCAAGTATACTCAAGTGAGAGCCGTGAGGCCAGGGGTTCTAGCTCTTTGTGCTGGAAGACTGATGCTTCACTCCACAACATTGGACTAGGGGAAGCCTCTGTCAAAGGCACCGGGCGTGAGCACCAGGGCGAACTAATGTGAATGCCCCCCTCTCAAGGCACCTGCACCAGAGACCTCTACAACAATGCATATAAGGTAAAGCAGAACTGCCTCAGGATGAAACAGAGACAGAATGCAGAGAGGAGTGGCTGTTAAATCCGAGCAGACGAGGCTCTAGGAGGTCACTATGGGGCCTCAAGTGGTCAGGAGGGGACAGTGGGCAAAGTATGAGAAAGACATGCATGTTCATGAGCTGGCGAGGAGCCTAAATTATACTGGAGGAATCGGACAGAAAAAAGCTGGAGAAAGGCTGAGGTCACTCACTGAGATCCTTACACGCCACACAAAACTGTGAACCTCATTGGCAGGCACTGGGATGCCATGAAAGGTTTTAAGCAGATGAGACCATAAAAGACATAAGAATGATTGTTAGTTTACAAGTAATTAGTGGCGGGGGAATCATGAACACTGGTGAGGAGATGAGCTCAGGTGAGTGTGATGAGGAGCCAGGTGAGGCCTCAGCACTGAAAGGAAGGGGCATGAGGTCAATCAGGGGCAGAATCGATGGGCAGAGCTGGAGAACAACTGGACAAGGAGAATGAAGTGCAGGGAAAGCACAAGATGGTGCTAAAGCCTGGTGCCAGAGCGATGGAGAGGATAAGGATCATAAGGAATACAAGAGAACAAATTTGTGGAAGAAAAAATATGCTTTTTCAAAATAAAGTAAATTTGAGATGGTGGGGAAAACTCATATGAAGATATTCAGCAAGCAGGTGTAAACCTACCTCAGGAGGATGGAAGAACTGTAAGGGAGAGACAATGCCTTGGTGATCGCTGGAATCAATGCTATGAATTGGCCACTTAGCAATGCTTTAGCTGCATCAACAACTTTTGATGTGTTGAGCTTTCATTTTCATCTGGTTCAAAGTATTTTCTAATTGCTGTTCCCCTAGAGGTAACAGCTCAAGGCATGGGATTGTGTGAGATCTCCCAGGGAGCAAATGTCAAGAGAGGGCAGAGTTGAGAACAGAAGTTTGAGGAATGTCTATTTATAGGGGCAAAAAGAAGAAGCTGAACTAGTGAAAGAATCAAGAACAGAAGGTGCGGCAGACACTGCTGTTCATCCCATAATATGTATTCTCCCTTTCCTCTCTCTAACGGATTCTCTGATGGTTAAGTGGACACATGGCCACCGAGAAACACCTCCAAGTCTCCCTGGCAGTTTTGGCCAAGAGGGAGCAGTGTTCTTAAAGAGGGGCATGCTGTAGACCATGGACTACCTCATGGGGTTACAATGGTTTGCCAATAATTATGGCTACACAGAGAAAATAAGTGGTTACTACTTTTATAACATCATTATGATTAAAAAGACTACTTGGAAATATTATAGAACTATCAAAAAATCATAAATAAAATAAATATAAATCATGTAAAATCATTATAATAGGGATCCACAAAAAATGACAGTCAAGTCTTCCAAAGAAAGTTCTTAGCTAAAAAATTTATTTAATGGTAAACAAAAATAAGATATTAAGAAATTTTAATTATTCAGAGAAAACTGTCAACACAGCAGCAACAACAATCACCATCAATCATGAAAGCATGCATACCTCAGCGGTCAGAAGCCTTTTTGGACATTTGTTAACCGTGGCAAAAACTTTCCTAAGGCCAGTCTCCAGTTGTGTCAGTAACAATACGGCACAGTCAGCAAACCTGTGAAATTGAAGGAAAATAGGCAAAATTCCATGTTTTAAAAGCAACACTGGTACCTACACCACAAGAATGGGGCTGTATTCCAGATATGAGCAATGTGTGTTCAAGCAAGGACGGGTGACGTTACTCATTAATACGAGAAACAAAGCCAGAATCAGTCTCATTAGACTAGTGATTTTAAAACTGTTTTCCAGTGTTTTAGTGCATGATGAAACATTTTTAGTAGCTTTGGTGGAGTAAAATGTCATCAAAGATCTGCCTAACTCATAACTTCTAAAAAATACTCAAATACCAGGACTTCAGAGGGTTCTCAAGGGGTACAAATGAAGGTATCAGGATACAGTAACCAAGACCACTAACCTCCTGATGTCCATGTGTGTACGCTCTGCTCCCCAGGGAACACAAAGACAAACTTCCTTCCTCTTTGCTCCATGAGTCTCTAACTCTGGACACAATGTTTCACTCATAGTAAGCACCCAAAAAAACACTAAAAAGTTGATTCTAAAAAACAATTATCTCTATCAACTGTACCCAAAGGATGACACATAATGTTTAACTCACAATCACAAGCTATCTTTTAACTAATTATATGAAGATACTTGATGCTCAGGTCTACTCTTGAGTCAGCCCCACTTCTATTTGCTTACACTCCAGTAGCAAGAAAGCATGGGAGCTAGAGGATTGTAAGGGTTGGCCTCCCAACTACCAATAACCACTCTGTAACACCACCCTTCAGTTACCTCTGTGACTTGAACTTGATTAATGCAACTTCCCAATATGGCAACATGATTTTTAATATGAAAGTGGATTTCTTCATCACTTCTTCTAATACTGAAAGCACCTCATGAGAAACATCTGCAAAATAGCAAACATTTTTAAGCACAACCACACTGGACAACTGAAAAAGATGTGAACGCACTTAGGAAGTGATGCCAATGAGCTGACCTCCTCAGCTGGACAAACTGTAGCCTCTGGGGCAGTGCATGCTGTCTGAGAGTAAGACCACGTGAACTAGAGCCACAGTTGTAGGAGACCACAGGTACCCTTGGAAAAAGGGTACTGCATCCCTTCACCAATTTAGGCTACAACAGCTTTGAGTAAAGGAGTTCAGGGTTGACCAGCTGACCACACTGACCAGGAAAAGACAGACATATTTTCAGAAGATATAGGAACCAAGAGTGAACCCTATGGTAAACTACAGAGTTTGGGTGACTAGGATGTGCCCATCTAGATTCATCCTTGGTAAAAAATGTACCACTCTGGTGGGGGATGCTGATAAAGGAGGAGCTGTGCCTGTGTCAGGGCAGAGAGTATAGGGAAATCTTCGTACCTTCCTCTCAATCTTGTTGTAAACTTAAAGTTTCTCTAAAAAACAAAGTCTTAAAAATATATACATTATTGGCAGTCACCAGACTACCAAAAGTGTCCATGGTACAAAAGGCTGAGACTGCCAGGACCAAGATATTCTGTACTGTTCCCTCCAGCAAATACTGATGTACACCTCTCCTGCAAATGTGGAAAAGGAATGGGCATGGAGCAAACACATAGTTTAATTGTTCTTTCAAAGTTTTGTGTCCCCTGCCCCCATTAATTTGGTAAGTGGCTTTGTCATAGGGAAAAAAAAAGAAGTTATAGGAGACCATCTATACTATCGGCACTTTTTGTATGATGACTTTGAGTACAAAGGCGCAACAGCTAAAAAGAGAAGGGAACACACATTACAAAATGTCAACACATCTGAAGGATAAACTAATTCTCTCACTAACATTGATTCATGTAGCCCTGAGTCTCAAAGGGTCCCACGACAGCCTGGGGGGCACTCTGGGAAGAGGTAAGGTTTTATGGGCAAAGTTTGAGAGGTTCTTCAAGCAACTTTCAAAGGCATCTTGCTGTTGGAGAATAATCATTCCACCTACAGAGCTCAAATCTTGATGCTACTTAACGGTTTTATAAATTTCTTTACGAAGATATATTCAGGAAAAATGTGAAATGTTGTACTCGCCAGGGAAAACAATCAGATCCTCTAAGTTTGTAAGAGTTATGAAAGGTCGATGTGTCAATGTAAGTTTAGCTTGTTGAAGGTAAGTCTTCAGTAGTTGACCCAATCCTGCCGTCAACAATATCATCATTGAACAGTACCTAGGGGAAAATACCAGAGAGCTCTGTTAGAAAAATGAACTCAGTCATACAGAGAAAAAGCTTTATCTTCAAAAAGAGAAGTTGAAAATTAGGAAAGTAGAACACCATTAAATTGCAGAAAGCTCCCCATAGCTGTAGGAATTAAGCTGTGCAATGGCTGGGAGGAACAATGATATCTCAGAAACTGGTGGGCTGAAACCTCAGGGTCTCCTACCCAGCAGGAAGCTGTGACGTCATCCTTCCCATCAGGTTTAACCTCAGAATTGCCTTCAGGGTGTAAGTCCGTGAAATCACAGCTGTCACCACTTCAGCCATTCCGCTATTAATATTCAGTTTAATCCTCAAAATCCTGCCTCAAAACTCTCTCACGTTTCTCAAGACTCATCTTTCCCTGCTGTGAAATTCAAGATAAACTCATAAGTATATCAAAAAAGAAAGAAATTACATCACAAGCAACTTACTTTGGAGGAACTTCATGAGGTGACGCAAATCCATGCCACAAGATGTTACGCAGGTTGAGTCCACATGGGGAGCCAATGAAGACTTTCAGCACGTCCACCTAACCAGGGTAAGGACAGCAGATTATCGAGTAGGTACATAATTCCTGAATTACTAAATACACCAGTACAATACTGGGATGATGTCTCCTTTCTTCTTTAGAACTAAGAGAACCAATATCGTGGCTCACGTATAGTGATAATAACGATAATCATAATAAACCAACAGTACTGAGCATTTGGTATGTCAGACACACTTCGCACGTATGTGTTACTCATTCATCCTCAGAACAGCCTACAAGGAAGGTACTACTATGACTCCCACTGTGCAGACGAGAAAAATACAGGCATGGGGAGGGGAGACCGAGGTCTCAGATGCCACAAAGCTATCAAGGTGGATGAGATTTGACCACGGGCTGCCTCTGGGTTTGAAGCATCAGACTTTAGAAGAGATTCAGAAAAAACGCAAGATGTTCACACTGAAAGAACTTAAAAGCTTGTCATACGACAAAGAACAGCTGAGCCTCCAGAGGACTCAGGAAAGGAACGGAAGCTGTCTTCATCCACCTGAACGATGGCTGCTGAGAAGAGGAGACCCTGGCATTGTGAATCACTTAGAGGGAGGGAAAGCCCGAGAGTGGAAGTTACAAAGAGGGATTTCCACCCCATCTCAGAATACCTAACAACCAGCTCTTCAATGCCACTCCAGGAAGGCTTTGCTCCCATATTAATTTTTAACACTTTAATATTAATAATTTAATATTATTTATTTTGAATTTAATATTACTTTTTAGTTAATTGCTTATAGCATCTGGGCAATCAGAAATATATATGCCAACGAACTACTAAAACAATCTAGGGGCTAAAAGTGGCTGCAGGGAAGCAAAAGGCTAACAGCACACAGGTAGGTAACAACAACAGATCAAAACAACCAAATGTGGTTAAGAATTCCATGTAACAATGAGAAGTTTGTGCTTTATCTTCATTCCATATTCTCCATCAAAGAAAATGATGTTTAAGCTGACAAGGGGTAAGAAACCACCATGAAAAGTGGGAAAGCTTTACAGAAGACAGATTCCTTATCCAATACCTATGAGTCTAGCCTATAATATATCACACAATTATTGTAAATGACTTCCTGGCGTGGCAGGCTCCACCTTCTGCATGACACTATCCTGGCTTTCTTTTTCACTTCGACCTTGCCTCATTCGGTTGCCTAAAGGTTATTCATTAGTCTTAAACAATCTTGACCACGTGGTCTCTCAAAGATTCTGAAAAAGCATATAGCTCTGCATGTTTTTCAACTGGCATCTAAATTTTTTTTCTCCATAAGCCTCAACAGTCACAAAGGGCATAATTTCCCTTTGCAATGTTAAAAATATTATGTGTTAAAAATACTGATATTTTAGAGCAAAACTGTAACATCCCTCTTTAAAGGGTAAAAATTTTATTCTAAAATAAGTTAGTATTATAATTATTTTTTTTTAAAGATTGGCACTTGAGCTAACATCTGTTGTCAATCGTTTTTTTTCCTTCTTCTTCTTCTTTTTCTCCCCAAAGCCCCCCACTACATAGTTGTATCTTCTAGTTGTGAGTGCTTCTAGTTGTGCTATGTGGGACGCTGCCTCAGTATGGCTTGATGAGTGATGCCATGTCCGTGCCCAGGATCCAAACTGGCAAAACCCCGGGCTGCCAAAGCAGGACGCATGAACTTAACCACTAGGCCATGGGGCCAGCCCTGATATAATTATTAACATATAATTAATGAAAGCAATAGACTTCAAACTGCTCATCTGACTGGCGCCTCAGAGGTTATTACACCAGAGGTCCTCATGGCAGAGGTCCTCACAGCAGACGTTATCACATCAGAGGTCATCACACCAGAGGTCCTCACACTAGAGGTCAATGCATCAGAGGTTATTAGAGCAGAGGCGATTATACCAGAGGTCATCACACCAGAAGTCCTGACACCAGAGGTCCTCACGGCAGAGGTCCTCAAAGCAGACATCATCACACTAAAGGTCATCACATCAGAGTCATCACATCAGAGGCTATTAGACCAGAGGCTATTACTTCAGAGGTCATCACACCAGAGGTCATCACATCAGAGGTTACTGCAGCACACTAAGACTCAGGATAAGAGAGAGGTGTGTCTTTTGTCTGGAAGAGTGGCAATTCTGTAAGGGGAGGTGGTAATGGAAAATAAGCCTGAATCACTGATATAATTATTTTTTTCCTAATGTAGCACCAGTTTTTGAGAAGTAAAAGTACAGCTAACATTAACTGTTTTGTGTTGTGTTACTCTATTAGTTTTAGTGAACAAGCTTACCACAGACTGCCCAAAGACTTGCGCAAGCTCCTCAGATGCAAGCAGATCTCTTAAAAGAAAAGGGCATTCCTTCCCAATCAGTAAAAATACCTAAAATTCAAACAAAAACTGTATAATGATTGCATTATAATGAGCCAAATGATGTTAAGAAAAAAGTCGCCCATAAAGCAACTCTTTGGACAAAAGAAGAAAGAAAAGTACTAAAGATACCAATGTTTCAATTTTATAATCATTCAAAAAGAAAAATATTTAAAATCTGTGCCAAATGATTTTCTTTTACAGGAAAACAATAATCAAAATCAAGAAATTTGAGTGCAACTGTAGAATGGTTTAACGTTCATTTAGATACTTTAATGGACCAACAATGAAAGAGTTCTCATACTTACATCACCCAAGGTTCGTTCCAGACATAACGTCAGCTTCATTAAGCCGAGAGAAATAGCAGGGGATTGACGACTTTCCAAAGCGTCAAATACTTCAGGAAATAACTGTTTAGAATAAGACATATGTTAAATTTGCACTTAATGAGAAATATTTCTCAAAGTAACAATACTATCAATGAAATTCAAACCTCTAAAGATTTCAGTTCGCGTATTTTAACGACTTGTTTGGTATGGGTAAACATTTTCTACATAAACATAGTATCAAAAGAATCAAGAAAATATTTTAATATCTGAGGAGTTTTTTGAAAGTTCTCTCTATATTTAAATGTTTGTTAAAAGCAGTAAATCTGGCATAACTGTAAATTGAAACGTCAAATATTTTGACCTAAATCTTATTTCCTGTTTTGATTAGTTCTTAAAAATAAACATAAGGCAGCTCACCCTGCCACTCATGAGAGCTATTACAAAGGGAGAAGCGACGATCCTTCTGCTCTACATTAGGAAATTCAAAGAATTTTACAACAGACTCTTATAGTTACTGCCCTATTGTGGACAAGTGAAATGGTTGGTTTGAACCAACCAACAAACCAACCAAAACAAGGTTTGGGCATGGTCCCAAACTACCCTCCTCCCTTCCATTCACCCTCGCCAAACCAAGCATCCTCATCTCCAGTCTCTGGGCCCACTGTCTCAAGAACGCCTTACTATCCATCCACAAGGTCTTTCCTTTTTCTGGAGCAGTCCATTTTTCTCTGTCCCAGGACAGTGCCCATGCACCAAGCTAGCTCCTCAGCCCTCCATTCTGATCCTGCATCCAAAACCTTCTTCTGTTCAAAGGATGTGCCTCTCAGCTGAGGCTTCAGAGACCGCAGAACAGTCCCAAGTTGCCCTGCGACCCTAAGCCTTCTTCACAGTTGGAAGGCCCTGAGGATGGAGACCCCTTTAAAATTAGCAAGTAACAAGGGCCTCTAAGTGGAACTTGCAAAGTCTTTTCTTTCTAAAGGTTGTTTAAAAGCCAAACCTCTGGAAAACTTGTCCATTGGAGCCATGGTGTATATCGAATTTCAAACTGCCCCCTGGTCAGAGATAACAAATGTAAGTGGACGGCCTCACACACAGGGCCCAGCAGCCTCACGCTTCCCCGGTAATCCAGACCCTGGGCTTCAAGGACAAGAAAACAAGTTTTAGTACCACAGACCCATACCAAGTGATGAAAAATGTCTAAATTATCAAAGGAAAATTGCTTTATGAAATTTCCACAAAATCAACAACCAGTTTATAGTTGAAGTTACACTAAAGATACTCATATATTGTTGGAAATAAGTTACATAGTGTTTATCTGACTGTAAAAGAAAAATATACTGTCAGTAGAGAATCTGGAAAATACAGAAAGGTTCAAACGAGAGAAAAAACATTTCCTTCAATTTCTTTACTTGCATATAGGTTTATACAAAATCAGGTTCATACTGTATATATATTATATTTTAACCTGACTTTACTTTTTACTGAACATTATTAGACTGTGAGATTCCCAATGAAATTATTTTAGAACATATCTATAAGATGAATATTTTGTTGTTTTCATTTTTTTGATAAGTTTGGAGCTGAACATTCACACGGTGCTCAACGAAAAAATTTAAAAGGTGAGTCTCCCTCCTGGCCACCCGATTCTCCTTCCTATAGCAGAACTGTTACTAATTCCTTGGGTAATCTTGGAAATACTTATACTTACACAAGCAAATACAAATACATGCTCCTCCTATTTTTTTACATAGCCATATAGCTAACAGAGATTTCTGAATCAAAAAGATGGGCCCCCTCGTTCTTTCTCACTACTGCAAATATTCCCTTACGTGCATTTTTCCTAACTAACTTAACCAATCCCCTACTGCCTGACATGTGGCTGTCTCCAGTGTTTCTTCTTTTTTGCTACCTCAAAATGCTGCAAAGAGGAGCCTGCACAGACACCACTTTCATACCTGTAAATATGCCTGACTCCAATTCCTGGATGGAATTGCTGGGCCAGAGCACATTCGTTTGTAATTTTTATAAGTATTATGAAATTTTCCAACCCCAATCCCTGCTCCAAAAAATGTCCAAGAATGTGCAGAAGACCTTTAAAATAACTGTGTAATGCATTACTGGTCATTTCATACCCTTAATTCATGTGACTTCTACTTTCTTCCCTTTTCCCCCTGGATTACTGGCCTCGAGCTGAGATCTGTGTCATGCACAGCCCCTCCACCCACCACTGCCGCCCAACCCCTCCTTCTCACACAGCATTTTCTGAGCCCAGATTTTTGTTAACTCTTCTATGCGTCTCTGGACTCATTCTCTTGCTTTTCACACTGATTCCTGTTCTCTTTTGAGTTAGGCCTGCATTACAACATCCTCTAATCAAAAGCAGCAATGGTCAGAAAGGGACACTTTACAGATCGAGATATTTTAAATGCAACAGTTGTGGGGCAGAGAAAGTACAAACCTGACTCTGTATAAAGCACACAGTCTGTAATTGTCTGCCAGCACACTTCACCACTCTGAGTTACAATACTATTGATATCACAGCGTTCTCTGACTTCAAACCCAAGTTTACATATCATATCATACACTGAGGGAGACAGACAGGTGGTAATAGGATCCTCTACTAATACCTGAAATATAAAACATAGAAGACACTGTTTAACAGGAAATAAAAACAGAGGACTATTAATTATATATTTAAATCATGAGGAAATTCTATTCTATCTTAAGTACAGACTATACTCAGGTATAGCTACTGTCAACACACTTTTGGCTATCATGAAAGCTGTATGATTAAAGCATTGTGATGAAATATAAAGATACTTTGCATATTTTCAAATAAAAATGTGAAGATTTAAAATTATTTTATTAATTACAATATTTGTTAAGATATGAGTTTACAGGAGCTCAATGTGTTTTACAGAGGAGCACGTTACTCCTTTCAGCATTCCTTTACTATCCCAAAGTTATCAAAATAAGCCTTTTTTTATGGGCAGTGGGAAAGCAGAAAACCAAGCATAATATACTAAAACAGAAGTAAAAAGCACACCTCTGATCCCTACGTTATGTAAAAGGCAGCAAACCACACTGCTTTTTCATGAAGGATTAAACAAAACCAAAATCCTCATAATTATCTCCTCACTACACTAAGATCATCCTATAAACCTGTGTTCACATTCTGGGTCTGAAACTGACCTAGGCGGCGTCTGCGTTCTAGCAGTAGTGAGGTAGTCCTGCCAGCTCCCTGAATTGGGAAGCTGGCCAGTTTAATTCCTCCACGCTGTTAAGCATTGCCTTGTCACCTTGTTCCCTTGTCCTGTTCCCCAAAAGCTTTACTTCCCACTCTCAGCCCTGGCTGTCAACTGATCCTAGCACATGAAACTTGTGTGAATATTCAGTGATTCTCCATGACTCTGCAGACCACAACTTACTCAACGAGTCAGGGCACTCGAAGGGACACTGCAAGACAGCAGGGGGAAGAAGGGACTTGCTCCTGCAGCCTGGGGACTTCCTGTCCACTTTCTATTACTTTGAGCGTTGCCCCAGCAGCAGCAGTGCCCCCTGCTGCAGCAGCTGAATCCAGTCTGCAGTTTTCCCGACACTTGTAGCCGAACTTCCACACTGTGCCCCTGCAAGAGACACATCACCACTGTCCAGTGCCACCTCAAGAGCCTGCTTCCCACTCGCCAGCCCCTCCACGTAGCTGAGCAGCACAACTGCCTCCTTAGAGATCTGAGTTTGAGTACTTGGGGACCTTTCTCTAAGTTTCTAAGTTTTAAAATTCCCACCACTTTTCTTAGTTTCCTCGGTCCTATGGGTAGTGACTACTTGGCCAGCTGCCATCTCCACGGTATTTTCAGAGATCTCTTTTTATCCTTTCAGATATCTAGTTAACAATGTTATACCTAGTTAACTCTTTATGTTAAATTCTCTCAGTTCAAAAAAGATATAACACTAAAGGGTTATTTTCACATCAAAAGGGATTCCTTGAATTTTTAAAAAGCATTCGAACTCTAAAGGAATGGGCTGTGGTTCCGGAGTGACAGGTGGCAGGCAGAAATGATACTGTCACACAAAAGCCCATCTACCACACTACTAAAGCCAGCCGTGGACATGGTAACTGAAGTTTTGAGAAAGGTTTTTGATAAACAAAGGTCAAGCAATGGATTGGAGTACATGAGGAGGCCATTTGGTGTAAAATTAACTCAGCCTGACCTTGCTTTCCAAAAGGGCTTGACATGGCCATCGAGCATGTATTACGTATGTGCTTTAAGCGTTTGCTGTGTCCCAAAGACAAGAACAAATACCCTTAAGATAAAGATGCAACTGCCCCCAACTTGGCATTTCCTTAAGGATGAGCATTTCTCCCTACACTAGGAACTGATTGCTGCGCTCAGCCTGTGATCACTCAGCTCCAAACAACAGACCCGCTGCCTGCTGTGTGAACAGCAGTGCTGTGCCAGCTGGGCTATCTCCCGACTACTGTAAAAGGGACATTCCAATCACATGTGATAACGCTCTTCGGTGGGATTTAATCACTCTGCACACCCCACTTTGGCGCCCTTCCTTCCTTGGGGAAGGAAGAGCCCGGGCTAGCCCTCAGATCTGGCTCATAACAAACTCACCCCAATTTTGATCTATAGCTTGGTTATGGATTATCTGCCTCAACATCTTTCTTTGGGTTGTGGCTGCCCTATCAACACAGTTGCCCCTCAGCCTCAACCAAACTGTAAGACCCTGGAGCACAGAGACTAGGTCTTACACAGCCTTGCACCCCAAGGCCATGGCGTAGCTCCTGGCGCACAATAAGTGATAAGAGTTACTGAATGGTTGGCTCCTCCTACCCTGGGCTGAAACGCACTCCAAGTCTCCCCACCCTCAGCCACTGGCTACCAACAGACGTACAATTCCAGAAGTTGGCTTTTAGATGAACTTTTCAGCCCGTACTCTCTTGGACAAGACCTCACTGTTAATGAAGAAATAAAATCGAACGTCAAATAAACAGATGAGACGCTGCAATACTTGAACTGTCCCATGTACTAGTCACGAAGGTGGGTCCTCCCACCAGCAGCCAGAAACCCTGGGCGCCTGCGCGTGCACGCACACGTGGGCACCCACCCACACCCTTATCCTGACTCCTCACTGGCTGCCCAGAGCCCCGGGCTCGGGAGCAGCAAGGCTCAGATCCGAATTCTTCCTCCGACTCTTTCTACCTCTTGCCTTGCAAGTTATTTAACGTGTCTGAGCCCAGTTTTAACTGTCAAGTGTGCCAAATACCATCACCTTCCGGGGCTGCAGGCACTACAAATAATACTTGAGGAGTACCTAGCACGCAGCACTCAAGACACAGAGCTATAGCTAACACTGACGACAGACGTCTGACGTCTGACGGCCCGAGGCGGGAATGAGCACAGCCCTCCCCGGCGTGCGGTGCGCAGCCGCCCGCGAGGCTCGGCGACTGAGCTCCAGTCGTCACCGGACAGCCGCGGACTCACGGCGACGGCACGTGGCGCGCGGAGGCTGTCCTGGCGGCGACGCAGAGAAGCGACACGCGGGGACGAGCGCGGGGGGAAGGCGCCGCCGTCGCGCGCGCTCGGCCGCACGCCCGGCTCCGGGTCACGCGTTAGAGCCCGTCTGTCCCCGCGCGCGTGCGCACGGCGTCACACTAATCCTCACACCCTCTGTTCGCCCGCGTGGCCCCGGGAGCTGACAGGGAGGGGGCCCGGAGAACGAGCGCCGGCGCCCCCTCACGCCGGCAGCCGACACCGCGGGCGAGGGACCTGCGCAGACGCAGACACGAGGGGGCCCGGAACCCCGCCCAGGAGCCCGCTCGGAGCCGGTGGGATGGGCAGACCCTCCCGCGCCCCCCGCCAAGGCCGCCCCGCCAGAGGGGCGCGGCCAGCACGGCGGCGGTCGCCGGGCCAGCACGGGCACGCTCCCCGCCCGCTCTACCTCCATGACTTCCGGCTCCCGGCCGCCGGCGCCGCGAGATGACGCACGCAGCGCTCCGCCCCTACCCTGCCTCCCTCTTGTGCTCACGTCCGGCGGGCGCGGCGCATGCGCGAGACTTGCGCTCTCGCGGGAAGCTGCAGAGACGTTGAGGGCGGACGCGGACGGAGGAGCTTGGGCGTCTCGGAGAGCGGGCCAGGATGGAGAAGCGAGGCCGAGGCGGGAAGCTGCCCGCACACCAGCCCGCTCAGCAGCCACCGTCGACGCCTCGGAAAGAGAGGAGGCCGAGCATGTTCGAGAAGGAGGCCGTGAGTGCGGCGACGGCGGGGGGCTCCCCGGCAAGGGCGGCGGGGCGCTTCCGGTGTGGAGCGGAAGTCCGCGGACCCGCCCTGAGGCCGCGTGCTGGCGGACCGCGGTGGAGTCCGTGTTCCCGGGTCGGAAGAGCCGACGAGGCCATCTGCGGCCCTCTCCAGACTTCTCAGCCTACGGGTTTTCTAAGCGTTTTGTCCCTCTTCACGGGAATACGTAAATGCAGTGTATCTGGTGGCATCGCACAAGCCAGAGGCGGTCTTACCCGACAGGAGCGAGTGTGGTGGATTGAAGACAAGACAGGTGTCTGAGATGCCGGCGGAGCGATGAGAGGTTATGAGATCTTGAAAACAGCAGCACTGTCGGTGTTGGAAGAGTATACGGGAGGAAAAAGTTAAATTGAAAATGTCCTGCGCCTTATCTTGTCTGAAACTGTAGGAAATGCCATTCGATTTCATTGGTGGTGTAACCCTGGGGTTTCTATGTGACCCATCACTGTAATCGAGATTCGCCTTTTATGGAGACTTTAAGGGGGAAAAGTTTGTGCAGTGAGACAAAACTGTGCGATGATAGGGCTGAGACCAGAACCAGTGCTCCGGGCTCCTGGTCCACGCGTCTGTGTGGTCTCCTTTCATTACCAATTCATGGGACCCGTGATTGATAGGGAGGAGGGAAGATAACAGGTAAAACACTAATTTTTAGAGATCCTAAAACGTTTCAAGTGTCAAAAAGAGAATTCTCAAAAAAAGGTCGTGGCAGTGTTTGAGGTTCCAGTGACAGGTCTTTGATGTCTGCATTTTGCAAAGGAAAGAACAAACCAAAGTAGGAGAAAAAAATGGGGCGAGTTCACACAACTGAGAAAAAGCAGAGCCAGGCTAGAAACCTTAACCTGTGGAACTTTAAATGTTGTGCCCTCAGAAACTGCTGCATTGCCTCACAATAAGTGAGTAACAGATAGGTCACCTGCAGTAAAGAAAAACGTATTTTGAGGCAGACAGAGGTGCCTTTTATAAACTTCGAGTCTGCCAAAGGTCTGAAGTCTTGAAAAATGAGTAAACCTGAATCCAAAAGGAGGACACACATCGGTACACTTGGTATATAGCCAAAATCTGGGCAGAAGGGGATACAGACCAAGGCAGTTCTTGTTTATATGATCTGGATGTGATCAACTGTAGGTGTCCTTAAAATCTAGGCTTCTACACATAAGAAATGTGAATAGATCAATAGTTGGGAAGATGCTGAGAAGGGATTCCACAAATGCTCAGTAGATGTCTGAGGACAGTGAGTGCACCAGTGAGTCATTGCCAACTTTCAGGTGGCTGATAATTCCCATGTTCCTGGGCATAGGAAAAATTAGGACATACAATTCGGTCAAATAAACATCTTTTGACTTTAGCTTGCATCCATTTCTTTGCTAGTAGTGGGATCTTGATTTTCCTTTGGAGAATTAATGCATCCCCCATTGGGTAGTGTTTCAGTGGGACTGTCAGTCAGTTTCCTTAACTGTGTGGTGAGAATAAGACCAAAACTAGGCTAATTAGATGAACTCTTCCTGGAGTGATGCAAGAAACTGCTTTAGTTTCATCCATATTGAGGGTGACCTGCTGAAGTGGCTCGTGTCTGGTTCTTCAGCCTTCTCTTTCATTCTGTGAGCTACTCCATGTCTTCCCAATTAATACAGCTTTGCTTAACAAGAATGATTTCTTATTTCTTACAACCAAAGATCCCAGAACGTTAAACGCATTACAAAAAGTTGAAAACTTGATTAGTCTCACTTGTGTACATACATTTGAAAATCTTAAATACTGGAAAATGGCATTTAGAAATACACCAATGTAATGGCATTCCATGACCAAGCTTGGTTTATTCTAGGATTATAAGTACCGTTAACGTAAGGAAATGCCGTATCAATAGGTTGAATAATTAAACTCAGGTTGTTTTAGTAGATGCCAAAAGTTGATCATATTTAAAACATATGCCTAGTTTTCAGAAGTGATTACAAAGATTCTTCCTTAATAAAGGGATGAAATACTCTTAGTAAAGAGAATACTAAATTGGAAGGCCAGTATGATACATAAGGAAGAAATGTAGAGAAGTGAGTTTTCAGCATAATGGAATGTTGTTTTCACACAGCAGGTGCATGCCCTCTCCTCAAGGGAATCATTGTGGTTGGGAGCCACTGTTTATGGTGCAGTGTAGTTGTATCCCTTGAGTATATTGTGGGGAGAAAGAAGATAATTACCGTAGGGAACTTTCTCTTAATGAAAAACACCAAAATAAATATTTTGTTTTTAAGAGGTTTAGGGAGCTAGTAATGCTTCTCTTCCCCAACTAAAACATAAAGCAGCCTGGCAGATGGTGAAAATAGTAGATTTATTTCTGATAAAGGACTACTTCTGGCAGCCAACATGAATAACTCCTACCAGAAGCTGCTGAAAATAACAATGTATGAAGCAATTGTTTCTATCAGTTGGTTGTAAGGCCAGACACAGTAGTGATCTCTGAGAGGGGAACAGAAAGGTGAGGCCCAGGATTTCCCCTAACTTACTGCCTGGTGAGGGATTCCAGCTCACATCTTATGGAGAGGTCACCCTTAGTTGAGAAGGATTTGGGAACCAAGATAGGCCAAGGTGTTATGAGTCTGCAGAATAGAGTATTAGCAGAGAGCTGTACAAACAGCTTCAGAGATGTGCAGAGGATTTTCCTCAAGTCTTCAGATTAGTGCATCAGGTCAGGAAACCACCTGTGGCCAGAGAAAGAATCACTCAGAGGAGCAGGAAAAAATCCTTGGACTTATGTGAAATAGTTTGTGTTCCCACCAGGAAGAATGGAAAACCATGTAAATCACAAGAGATTGGTTAGAGTGCTGAGAAGTGTGTTATCTCAGTAGTGTGGGGGAAAATAGCCCTACACTTGAAGATTACTCTAACCTGGCCTTTCAAAGCTCAAAAACAAGCCTCAAGAGAATTTAACTCTTTCCAAGTTACTACATTCTAGAAGAAAGTTCAAGGATATTTACAAGGGTACAAAAATGTATGCAAATAAGGTAAATTCACAATTTGTGTCCAATTAAATGTTAGTAGACCTACAAAGAAGCAGGAAAATACAATGCAAAATGAGAAGAGACAAGCAATAAAACACCCAGAAATGATGCGGGAGAGAATTAGTTACTAATTCTCTAGTACTAAAAAAAGATACTAAAGCAGTTATGAAACAGTTGTATTATATTAGTTTTTATCAAATTAGTTATATAATATTTATATTATAAAACAGTTTTTACATTCTGTATGTTCAAGCATGTAGAGGAAAGATTGAGCAAACTAAATCAAAATCAAACTTCTACAGATGAAAAATACAGTGTCGTATGTAAAATATAATGAATAGAATTAACAGCAGATTTGACAATACAGAACAAGGGATTCGTGAAGTTAGAGACAGCAATGGAAATAAAAGCCTGAAAAAAAATATTAGGAGACATCAACGAGCTATGGAAAAATTTCAGGCAAAAGTTTTGTTCTTATGTTTTGAGTCCCCAAGTGACGAGAGGAAAGAGGACAGACAAAAAAAAAATTGAAGAAATAATGGGTGAGAAGTTTCCAAATTTGATGAAAACTAGAAACCCACAAATCAAAGAAGCTCGATGAATTTCAAGCACAAGAAACAGGAGAAAATTATGCTGAGTCATAATAGTCAAATTGCTTAAAATCAGTGATTTAAAAATTTAAAGGCATGCTAAAGCAATCCTGAGAAAAAAGAACAAAACTGGAGGCGTCAGGATCCCTGACTTTAAAACATACTACAAAGCTACAGTAATCAAAATAGTGTGGTACTGGTACAAAAATAGGTGCACACATCAGTATAATAGAATTGAAAACCCAGAAATGAAACCACACATCTATGGGCAGCTAATCTTTGACAAAGGAGCTGAAGGTATACAATGGTGAAAAGAAAGTCTTTTCAACAAATGGTGCTTGGGAAACTGGACAGCCACATGTAAAAGAATGAAAATTGACCATTGTCTTTCACCATTCACAAAAGTAAACTCAAAATGGATGACAGACCTGAAGGTGACACCTGAAACCATAAGGCTTCTAGAAGAAAATGTAGGCAGTACACTCTTTGACATCAGTATCAAAAGGATCTTTTGGGACACCATGTCTTCTCAGACAAGGGAAGCAATAGAAAGAAGAAACAAATGGGACTTCATCAGTCTAAAGAGCTTCTTCAAGGCAAAGGAAAACAGGATTGAAACAAAAACAACCCTCCAATTGCGAAAAAATGTTTGCAAGTCGTACATCCAACAAAGGGTTAATCTCCATAATATATAAAGAACTCACACAACTCAAAACAAAAAATCAAACAACCTGATCAAAAAATGGGCAGGGGACTTGAACAGGCATTTCTCCAAAGAAGATATACGCATGGCCAATAGGCACATGAAAAGATGCTCATCATCGCTGACCATCAAGGAAATCCAAATCAAAACTACACTAAGATATCACCTTACACCTGTTAGAATGGCAAAAATAACCAAAAGAAAAAGTAGCAAATGTTGGAGAGGTTGCGGAGCAAAAGGAACCCTCGTACACTGCTGGTGGGAATGCAGACTGGTGCTGCCACTGTGGAAAGCATTATGGAGATTTCTCAAAAAATTAAAAATAGACACACTGTATGACCCAGCCACCCAACTACTGGGTATCCAAAGAACTTGAAATGAGGGATTTCAAAAGTCCCATGCACCCGTCTGTTCATTGCAGCGTTATTTACAATAGCCGAGACATGGAAGCAACCTAAGTGCCCATCAACTGATGATTGGATAGAGAAGATATGGTATATATATATATATATATATATATATATATATATATATATACACACACACACACACACACAATGGAATACTACTCAGCTATAAAAAAGGATAAAAAGTGTCCCATTCACAACAGCATGGATGGACCTTGAGGGTATTATGTTCAGTGAAATAAGCCAGATAGAGAAA